GCCCCCCCCTCCCCGTAGAGAAAATACATTGAATGCTTTTTATTATTAATGTAGTGTAGGGAGCAATCCACCAGGATCTGAATGACGTCCCTCACCACCTTTTGAACCCGCGCGCTTAACCTTCAACAATGTAACTTCAACCCTGATGATGATGAGGCTTGGAAGGCCGAATGGAGTTCACAAGAGGTCACAGACAAAACGCCGGGACCCGACGCGGAAGACTCGCGGCTCGACTGTCCGCGAAGCTTCGTGGCCACAACCCCTGGCACCGCATCTGCACACGAACCATGGCAGCAGCAGTTGCGGCTACTTGGAAGCCAAATCGGGAAATTAAAACCTCTCCGGTGTGCGACAGCTGCGGTCGCCATCAAGAACAGAACCACGGCACGCAAAACGACTCAACGCCTCGATTCACAAACACGGAGGAGGAGGCATCACCGCAGCAGCAGCGATGCGCTCCGCTCCTCCTGACGCAATCATCCGTCTCAACCACCCCGATGTAAAATTATAGTTGTTGCTCTACGTCAACATCAGCCATGCGAAGACGATGGAGTGTCGGGCCCTAATTAAAATGCTTGAAATATTGGGATTGTCCTCCTCCCTGGGAAGTTTCTAGATCCGCCTCTGTCCTTCACTAACATCTCATTCAGAAACATCCCTCCTCCTTTCTAGATTTGAAGTTTTCGTGACTGCAAGGATCCATACTCTTTGGTTTTTTCGGTAAAGTCATGTAGGTAAAAAATAATAAAAATGAAAACAACTAAATTCAATCACAAATTTAATAAATAAAATAAAAACTAAATTAAATCACGACGTTTCGGAAGCAACACAAGCCTCCACCTGAAGACGGAGGCTTGTGTTGCTTCCGAAAAGTCGTGATTTAATTTAGTTGTTTTCATTTTTTATTTTATTTAGTTAATTTGTGATTTAATTTAGTTGTTTAATTTTTATTATTTTTTACCTACGTGACTTTACCGAAAAAACCAAAGAGTATGAGTATCCCTCCTCCTTCCCACGATATCGCACTGAAGCAAAGCACACGCGTTCATTCGTGCACAGCATCTTGTGATCACGCTTGGAAGCTTCATAAAGACGAATTGTATTGCATCGCCAAAGAGCCCAACATATGAGAAGACGCCGAGACGACATGGCGTAGCAGAAACCCAGTGATGAGAAACGTTTTAGAAAATTAACTTACAAGCACAAGCTCCATTCCGAAGTGCGTCCACGCAGACAAAGCCATTACGTTAAGATCTACCACACGCTGCCTGTGGTTAAAAAAAAAATGTTACCTAAAAAACGGGTTATCTACCGCAAAAAATTACACACTTCAACCGAACAGACAGAAGTGGAGGGAGAAAAAAAACATGAGAAGACGCTTTAAGCAGAATGGGAAAAAAACACACAACACGCAAAAAAATTGATCGCTGTACAGTGTGCGGCATGCGTACTTGACGTGACCAGCAGGAGTCAAGGTGAACGGCTCACATTAAAGTCGGAGGACTCCACATGGCTGTGGGCCGACGTTATTTATAAGCGGAGGGGTGGGTAGAACGGTAAAAATGTTGCCCCCTTTTCACCGATATAATCACCATCGCCGCAAACGCGTTAATTGCCAAGGTAAGGAAATATGCAATGATTCGCAAGGGGAAAAAACATCTTTCATCTTCTAGACTAGAAGATATAATGCTGCATGGGGTCAGCTGCTCGCATTTTTATTTTAATACGTAGGCTTTTACGACCGATATTATGATTCATAATTAGTTTATTTTGGGTTAGATCGTGTGGGTATGAAATCAATGATTTTAATTATGACCCTCCACTACCCAACACAGCCAATACACAGACCGATTCGGTTTTTCAGCAAAGCCAGCAGGAAGTTGAAAAGCAATCAAATTGTTGACAATTTCAGTTGACACGCAGCATCATCAGAGGTTATCAACAGCTAAGCGAGAGCTGCTTTTCAACATTTCGGGTATCGCCGAAACACCAAATCAATCGGCGTGCCTGCCCACGTGGCAACTCTGATTAGCATGGTTGGCGAAGGAAGTTCAACTTGATTTGATGACCTAACTCAAAATAAACTAATTAAGCCCGCATTTTTTTCTTCACTTGCTTCTATCGTGTGCCTCTTCTCAAGTCACATCCACGATAATCACAAAGAGGCCCACCGACTTGCTCAGAGACACACAGACTCACATACACTAACAAGATTAATACACTTACATAGAGAACCAAAGAATTACATGGAGGCCCAGAGATGTATATAGAGACCCAATGACTTGCATCATCTTCGAATTCATAAGTCTCATGATTGCACGGGTTCAGAAAATTACACGGACGCCCAGAGACATACAAGGAGACCCCAGCCAAAAGACCGATTACTGCACGAGGTTAGCTGCTCAGATTTGCTCCCAACATGCGCTTCTATTCTGCACCACGTCTCTAATCACATCCACCATCCTCACATCGAGATCCATAGAATGACTTAGAGACACACAGGCTCACATACACTTACACGATCCATACATTGACATAGTGATCTATTGACTTACTCAGACTCATACATTCGCATGATCCATGAACGTACATAGAGAGCCAGATATTTAACATGGAAACCCACGGATGTACAGAGATGCCCCAGAAGCCGTTACTGCATGGGGTTGACTGCTCATATTTTCTCCCTCCATGTGCTTCTATTCTGCACCTCTTCTCTAGCCACGTCCACTGTCCTCGTTACACCCCATCCTCCCCCACGGTCTCCTTCTCCTCCTGCTGCCCTGCACCGGTGGAATCTCTGTAGCCCAGCAAATGGTATCACCTTGGTCTCTTCTCAACACGTGCCAAAAACCATGTCATGTCTCGCCTCCCCCCTTACCATTCGAAAAAATTAGTAACCCCCGTTGAGGCTCTAACTTATTAATTCCTCCTCCTTGCTTTCAATTTGGCGCCAAGGTGCTGAGATGTTAACTCACTTGCCGGGTATGCAGGGGGTCGTAGGTTCGATCCCAACCCTGACGCCTGCTGTATATTTGGAGTGTGCGTGTCTCTATCTCCCCGTGATCGTGTGGATTTTTCTCCGTGTCCTCCGGATTTTCCCTCCACATTTAGAATCAACATCACGCGTTTATAGAGTATTGTGGCTGCTATACATTTCCACAAGAGCCACTTCGTTGAGCTATCATTTGTGGTCAGGTCACATTTGAAAAAGAGCTACGTAGCTCAGTGAGACTTACCTGGTAAAATTAAAATAGTTTAGTTTACATTTCCATAAATCCACCTTTTTATTGTAATCTGTCCTTTCAAGCACTTGTATTGGTAGATGGCCCACTGATGTGCGACAATCCTCTTACCGTCATCTCAACAGGTGATGGACTCCTGTCAAAGTGACGGCTTTCCCAATCGACATGCAGATGGTTAGAAAAAGCAACGTTGCTTTATCCATAGTTTCACCCTGTTATGTACGTGGGGTATCTATCGGACAGTTTGCCAAATGTAATGCTACACTCAAGTAATCAAGCACTTTTTATAGTCTGTTTTATTTGCTGCCCTTCCGCCGCACCTCCAATTAGCGGCTATGTATGGTGCGAAAGAAGTTCAACGCACGTACATTCAATGTGGAGACTGAATCGCGCAAACTAATCGTTGTGTGCGAGACACTCCCCCTGCAGGTGTACCAGGTGCCTCGTGTCAGTCAGTACAGCAAGTAAGCTATCAGCCCATGTGTAGAGATTTGCACACAAAACAAATCCTAAGAGCATGGGCACCCTTCAGGTACTGTACTTCCTCCCAAGCGGGTAAACAGGAACCTCCCGAAAACATCCTCAAGACACAACTGAGGCTTTCGAGAATAAACAAAAAAAATCAGTAATTACTCATTACTCACAATACCTGCTAGCCCTTGCTTTATATTCTACCAGCTGACCTGAGCTCTCCTCCTTCGGCTCCACGAGACGTGGCAGCGCACGGAAAGGCGCCGGCACAACCCAACAGGAGGCGAACGGCTGGGCCGTGTGTCCCAGGATGTCAGACCAAACAGCCGAAATTTAATCAATAATAAAAATATGACTCGCAGAGACAATCTGACTGCGGTGCACTTCTGAGGCTACACTCTCAGCTGGTGCATCCGAAGTCCTCGCATTTGCGGGCAATCTCTGTAAAGGGCTTCCCCCTGCTGTCCAAAGCGAGCATCAGCACATCGCGCATTAGCAAACACCCACCCACTGTGTACCGAGTGGTGGGTGGCTGAAGGTCAGACGAGTGTTACTTGCGTCATCCCCATTAGAAGGGCTGCCAGCTTGTACAAAGAGCATAATATGTCAATCCACTATGGGATAAAGGTCTTCCCAAGCCACGTAAGTCACGGAGCATGCTCGATCAAACTTCACCACACTGGTCAGCGTGGGTTGCTGATGGGGGGGGGAGGCCCAGGACCGAAAAGGATATCACACACCACTGATGTTAGCCATGGACCGCAATCAAACCCAGGTAACCTGGGTTCATAACGCTATACACCAACCCCTGCACCCAAGGTTCAACCAGAAATAAAATAGCTTCACACATAGAACGCACTCTTGCAACTGAACGCACTGACACAACAACTTCAACAACCTCTACCAAATACTATTACTTGTACCAGGTGGAGCAGGCCACATGTTGTACCTGGATATCTCTTGCCTATAATCACCTGGGGCAAGCCAGCAGTATTTGTTTAACGGGTCACACACTGCTAGAAAGACTGAAGTGACAGACCTAAACCTTATTACATTTCAACCTTATTCTCACCTTAGCATTCAAACTTCCAACAATTCCCTTGCCTGCCAAAACCATTCCCGACCAAGTCAATGATCCGCCGTTCACTCAATCCAGAAGTCCAACACCACTTCCCCCGAAAGGAGGAGTGCTCCAGCGCATGGCACCACGCAAAAAAAAAGTCATCTAACAACAAAGCCCGCGGGCCAACAGAAGCCCCACTCTCCCCCCCTGCCCCCCACCCGTACCGTCAATGAGTGCCTGTGTGTCCGGATCGAACGCAGGCATCCTGTCTTCATCGTCCAGCGTGTCCTGCTTGTCTCCCTGAGGGTCTCGCTCCTGTGGGGTGTGAGAAGGCGCAGCACGGTCAGGAGGAGAGAGTCTGCGTCCACAGCACCCACCGTTTACTTGAGTTCATGAAAAGAAGGCCGAGAAGCATCGTCAGCGAAGGACCGCTGTGCCAAACGTGTGACCTCTTGCGAAAGCATTCGCATGAACTTCTCTTGATGCCATAAACGGTGTCTCGAGTGATTGGATTGATCCACGTATCATGGGGGCGACCGTGATACGTAGGTCTACGCATTCGTTCCTCTTCAACAGATACCAAATGCATAAGCCCAGATCATTTTTAACAGGGCGTAACGGTGGCGAGATGTCACCTCCCTCGCCTTGTATGCAGGAGATAGTGGGTTCGATCACAACTCTGACACCTGTATATTTGGAGTGTGCATGCTCTCCCCGTGGTCGTGTAGATTTTTCTCCAAGTCCTCCGGTTTTTCCCTCCACATTTAATAATCAACATGCGGTTAGAGTATTTGGCTGCAATAAATTCCACTTGATAAGCCACTTCGTTGAGCTATCATGTTGTGGCCCGGTCGCTTCTGAAAAAGAGCTAAGAGCTCAGTGGGCTTTACCGGGTAAATAAAAATAGTTTAAGGAGTAAACCTCCCCCACAATTCCCACACTTCTGCTCTACTTTCCCATTTCCAAACTACAGTCTCCCTGTCGACTATAGCTGTCTGTTTAAATTTCTCACTCTAGTCTATAAATCCCCCCAAGGTCTTGCCCCACCCTATCTCACTTATCTGAAATCTTACTCTGTCCCATTCCGTCCTCTACACGCCCAGTAGTCTCCACTGTCCCCCTCTATGCCTCCCTCGCCCTGTGCCCAGTCCCGCTCTCTCGTTCCTCTTCCCTTCTTGCTCCCCTCCACTGGAAACAACTCCCACTGCACCACATCAAACAATCATCTCCACGATAGCCTGCAGCTTCCCCTCCTCCTTCCTTAAAACAACCAGCATCTCTTCTACTGAGCCCATCCTGCCACTGCTACTCCCTGCCCTCACCCCCCAGCTACAACCAGGCCTACCCCCACCCCTATCACTACCCCAACCCCTATCACTACCCCTATCACTAACTTTAACCCCTATCACTAACTCCAACCATTACCCCAACCCCTATCACTACCCCGATCACTAACCCACACCCATGCCACTACCCCAATCACTACCCAAACTACTAGCCCTATCACTAACCCCAACCCACAACGCCTGGGTGTCCCGTGACCACATTCCCTCCTGCCAGAGAGCCTTTCCACACTTCACACAACAGCCTCAAGGTAGTGCACCCAGTCTGGCACAAGCGCCGACGCGGTGACGTCACCGCACCACACCCGGCGGCGGACACTGCGGACACTGCTGCTGCTGCTGTTGTTGTTGCGAGCGGTCAACTCGCCTTGAGGTCGTCCTCCACGTGGTGCGCGTCGTCCTCGTCGGTCTCGTCGCCGGCCTCATCGTCCACCTCATCGTCCACCTCGTCGTCCACGTCGTCGTCCACGTCCTCCCTGGGTTCGTCGTCCACCTCGTCGTAGCGGTGGTCCGGGAAGGGCTCGGCGCCTTCCTCGGGCGCCGCGGGCTCCGCGGGAGGCGGCGGAGGCGGCGACTCGCCTACGTCGCCCTGAGGTCAAGCGAGATCGCAGGACGGACGGCGTCAATCTTCCACACGCAGACACTGATGAATTTGCCGATAGCACCTTAATATATAGAGGACTGCAGATCTTGGAGAAGAATTTTGTGCCAACTCACTGCCTGGCTGCCGACTTCCCCGCTTGTTCTTCGCGCCCCCAAGTCATTCTCGCTCTTCCAGAGCGAACGAATACCGGCGTATCTCGCTTCGTGAGCGTTCTTTCCTCGGAGAATTCGCCATCACGAAAAATTCGAATTTTGACCAAATTTGGTCACAAAACGAGCAAATGCTTGCGTAACGAGCGGAGACCGATCTATCAAACACGTTCCGTGGTGGCAGGGGGTGCACTGCAGCATGCGGCTGTTTACCAACTGGGAGGCCTCGTGGTGGCACTAATGGGGGGGCGGGATAGGTAGGGTGGGGAAGGTGGAGGCGCTAATTAAATGCAGACGCCGAGGGCAGGTTACTGCAAGCACTGTGGTTATTCATGTGTGGGAAGTGTTACATTTGATGTTTTATTTTAAAATTCTAAGTTGTATTTCTCACGTAAAAAAAAAATGTTGTTCAAGAGTGGAACATTTTGGAGCTGGAAGGCAACTCAGCTTTTAGCGTGGGGGTCAATGGAAAAACGACGATCGTTTCACGAGTTTTTGCTGCACGAGACAGTTTTGGCAGAACGTATCTCGCTCGTTAAGCCAGACACGGCCTGCACTAAAATTTTCATCCTGCACCAACTATTATCATCCGTGTCCCAAGGCTTTAATAACTATTCTTAGGTTTTTTCGGTAAAGTCACGTAGGTAAAAAATTAAAATTAATAAAAGTAAAATAAAAATAAAATAAAAATCACGACGTTTCGGAGGCAACACAAGCTTCCGTCTTCAGGTGGAACCGTCACAGCACGATAGCTGTATCAAGTACAGCACGATAGCTGTATCAAGTACAGCTATCGTGCTGTGACGGTTCCACCTGAAGACGGAAGCTTGTGTTGCCTCCGAAACGTCGTGATTTTTATTTTTATTTATTTTACTTTTATAAATTTAAATTTTTTACCTACGTGACTTTACCGAAAAAACCTAAGACTATGAATCCTTGCAGTCACGAAAGCTTCAAATCTAGCTTTAATACCTGCCAGGGAGAAACCTCCGTCTCGTTCCTCCAACGCCGCTTCGCTCACAGCAAAGTCCTCTTATCGTCTCAAAAAGATGGATTTTTTTTGTGTAAAGATGTAACAAGAAAAACCTAAACAGCTCTAATTTTGCAGTTACCTACCAAGTTGTGCTGAACGAGCCGAGGCCACGGCCCACTCTGTACAAAACTCGTACGGGACTCAATGACCAAAACTATGAAATACTATACACATTCACCACAAGAGGGTGGGAGGGATAGGACATGTCATTCACTCCCCGTGTGCAACTCAGAATATGTATTCATGTCCAGTAGGGGCAAATCATAACGTTACAACAAATACACAAACAATTATAGGAGTGCTAAGTATAAGAGATGTAAGCAAATCGCTTTAAAAAATAGAAAACTAAAACTCAACTCTTTTTATCTTACCAGATAGAGCCCACTGAACTTTAAGCTTCTTTATCAGAAGCGACGTGGCCACAAGCGTGCGGTCACGGTTGGAATGAATTGCCCGTGATGCTGGGGGGAGATCCCGAGATGAATGGGACCGATCAGCGCGAATGCGTCTTCCTTTCTCAAGCGAGTGGTACGGGCGGGTTGACGCTCATTTCCAGCGGCAAAAATGTCAGACTCAAAAACCATCCTTGACTCCTCTCCGCCCTAAGACGGACTGCCGCTCCATGGACAACGGTCACAATCAGATGCTTATATATATATCCAGAATTTTAATTGAATGTCATGCTTCGCTTCCAAGATTGGTTATCTATTACAAGCAATGACAGCAGAACCAGGGTTTAGTCACATGCTGCAACTGCATTGATTGTAACCCAGAATCTCAACGGGGCCAGCTCGCAGCCACCCGGCCACCGAAACGATGAAGCGTTTGATTCTCAGAGCTGGAATTTATCCAAATTAAGTCCAAGAAGGTCGAGGGAAGACAGCAAATTGAGTCCATAGGCAATTTGATAAAGCTGACGCAACTGGGACTATCTAATGCAAAGTCCTTGAGTAACATCATGAACAGGGCTAAATAGAAGACCATGATCGGAGACGTCTTTGAGAAGGGATATGGTACAGAGAGGGAGAGAGAAGAGTGAAAATACGTTTTAACGCAAGAGGTTTTTTGAGTTAGATCACGTAAATATAAATGTGTCGTTAAAGCCGCCACCACCCGACACAATTGGTGACCCGTTCAGCACACCTGTTTGTTGGAGAGTTTAACGACACATTAATTTTAATGCGATCTAACCCAAAAAAGACCTTTATCATGGATTATATTAGTCGTGAAAGCCGACGTGCTAAACTAAATTGTATGTGCTGGTCACCTGGCTGAGACCATAAACCCACGAGAGTGGTTCAGAGGTCAGAGTGCAAACCCATGAGCCACCCAGACACTCCGCAACGAAAAAAATGCCTTTAAATAGTGTAGATGGGAAGAGGGACCATGGAGAACAGGAGGCAGGTCGAGCGAGTGGATCCTTCACCTCCAGTCTCAGCTTCTCCTTGATGCCAGCCCACACCGACTCCTCGAATCCTTGCAGGTCCACCGTCTCAGCTCCTCCCAGAAAAGTCTGCAAGCCAGTCAATTAATTACAATTAATAATAATAACACGATGATGTTTAAACACGTATAGATAATCTTTTTTAACAATTCAGTAACCTATTTTGAGCTCTATTTCAGCAAAATTGCATCATGAATGGGACCTGACCCTTGTATTCAAGTGCTGTTTTCACTGATTTTGCCACTAGATGGCAGATGCATCATGTGGTCAAAGATGGTGAAACCCTCGCACAACTGCACATTAGTAATGAATGATTGTATGTCTGTTGAACTTGTTTTGCACCGTCCGTAGCCAACCATGCCAATGAAGCGACGTGTTTTAAAAAAAATTGTCCTCTGAGAGTTAAAGGCACGTGCAATCTACCGAAATACGAAGCTGAGATACAGCGGCATTTGTACAAACCTGGGCGATGTTTACAAATGAGTGGAACTGCTTGCAACGAGGTGAAGTGCATGTTTGTAATCTAAAGCTGCAGCTCTGTCGAGCCATTGCTGGATGACAACCCCTCCATGCCTGTTCTTAAATAAAGGAATGACCAATGAGACGATGGCATTCATATGTGCAACGTTTTAAACTAAACTATTTATTTTACCAGGTAAGGCCCACTGCACTATATAGCTCTTTTTCAGAAGTCACCTGGCCACAAATGATAGCTCAACGAAGTGACTTATATCATGTCGAAATTCATAGGAGCCAAATAAGCTAAACGTATATTTCTAAATGTGGAGGGAAAAACTGGAGGACCCAGAGAAAAAAATCCACACAACCACGGGGAGAACATGCAAACTCCAAATATACAGGCGTCAGGGTTGGGATTGAACCCACAACCTCCTGCACACCAGGCAAGGGAATTAACATCTCGCCACCGTGGCACCCAAGATGTAGCCACGACTCAGGTCCGCCAACAGAGATGAATGTCACCCCCGAAGTGCATTGTGTTCTCAACGAGCTCACGCTTCGCAGGACAAAAAGACGATTGGCTCCATAAAAAAAAGGCCCATTTATTTTACACTGTAATGTTTTGTGCGGGGGTTCGTTGCTGGGCAAATTTTACTTTCTACACTCGAGAAGCTTGTTGAATATCTCGTTCTTATCTGGCATTCATTACGTGGCAGCGAAACAATGAGCCTGGACTCGCTCCTTCCACTAGTTTTCTCTGGCCATGGTCACTGTTGCCTCGATGCCTACATTTTTATCTATTTTTAAAGTCCTCTTTTTTAACTCCGTGAATACACCTTTTGCTTGAAATCATCACAACTGGCTGAAATCTGAATTCAATTCCAGAGGAGTGCTGGCTAACGCTACATGAAACAAATTATTTGGTGGTGCTGGGGCAGCAATGGCAGTGCACAAACAGAATTATCAACAACAAAAAACCTCAATCTTTAAAAACACTGCCTTAAAATGAAAATATATTATATTATGTGCTGTGAAGGGCCATTTCCCAAAATGACATCTCGTATATATTTTTTTTATTTTAAGGCAGTGTTATTTACGAATGTGTTAGAGTGTTTTGTGTGTATGGTATTAGTCCCTCACCCACCAATATGCCCAGTAACCTAACCCCCTCTCAATCTCGAAAAAAACATATCGGCTCTGGCCTTGCGCACGGTGCGCAGAACGCACAGCGGATGCCTTTCCATCGATCATCGAGCAACACTTGACAGCGCTCAGCAAGACTGCTACAACCCAGCACATTGGGGTGACGGTTCTGGAAGGGACCTAATCATCCAGCAGTGGATCGATCAAGGATTTCGACGACGATGATGATGACTCAGCGAAAGAAACGTCGGGTGGGGCGAGGTAGCGCAAGCCAAACACGCGCCCCGCACGCGTCTGCCATCAAAAAAGTGGCGACCCCTTCCACTGCCCCGGCGACCGTGCGCCCCGTCAAGGCCGCACAATGGGCACAAAGCTCGGTCTGGGGGTCACGGCACTTTGCGCACGTGCATAAGCCGTGCGGGCGCACGCCCAAGCGCTCCGCAAGGAACGTAAATAAGCAGGTCGGGCAACGTAGATATAAATAGTATGGTGGATAATAAAGGAACGACATTGTGTCTGAATTTGAAAAGGCACTTCAGATACCTCTGCCTGAGACGACCGACACCGCCACTAGAGATGAACCGGTGGTCTTTTTTCATTTTCTTTACGAGAACAACATACGCTCAGGGCCGGGCGCTCACGCCGGTGAGCGTGAAAAGACGACGACGGTAGCGTCACGCCCGCGCGACGCTGAAAGGCGAGCGTGCTCGCCACACAAGTCAGGCATTTTCTCTTTTTTGTTTAAGTAGAGCCAAAATACGAATCGTATTCCAGTCGAGGGGTGGTGCTGCAAACGACGTCACAGCTCGCACATATACGAGTTTAAAGATAACCAATATTTAGCTTCATTGCAACACTTTACCGTATAATCCTACTAGTTTGTATTTTTGTATCATCTCCCCATGGATGAGTGGATTGCAAAATAATAATAAAAAATCACTTAACTTAATCCCCCTCTCTTAAAAAAGCCTACTTTCTAGACAGTGAGATCTTGTGGGTTATCGAGTTTTTACCAGGGCAACTCACAACCGTGCTATCAGCATTGTCAGCAGACTAACCAGGTGTCCATACGGACCCCTCACTGTTGTTGCAACAGAACTTCACTTGGTGCCAAACGGGTCCTGGCAAAAGTCACTGCAACTGGCTTCTTTATCCACACGAGGTGTGTGGTTTCATGTCATGCTAATGGTGCTCATCAAATTGCGATGAAGCTCAAATAGTTCATAAGGTTATTTTATTGGTAATGCACATGCACAATGTATATACACAATGTACATTATGTATGTGAATTAACTGTGAATAACCCAACTAATACTAGTTATCCATTGTAATTTATATGACTCCATCAACCCCCCCCCCCCCCACCTCTGGTCCTCACACCTGATTGGCTCACAGTAACGACATCACATTCACCCCTCCTTTGTTGAAGGCCGGAACAGGAGGAGGATTTCTCCATAATTCTGGCTGTCGCCTGATGAGGCTGGTTATAATTGGTGGCGAAACGTCGTAGTCGAATTGTAAATGCTGTGGGCTTAATCTCCAACACACCGGTGTGCTGTACTAGTAACTAATTGACATGTTTTGTTTACGTAACAAACCTTACTAATTGGCTGTGTCATGTGGTGGAGGGTTTAACGACACATTTATACGCACGCGATCTGACCCAAGAAAAACCTCTATTATGGACCCTTTAGTCAACCGACTTAAGGAAGTCGGCCGCCGATAAAGATGGGATCACGATTGCGTTCGCTCTCTCAACCGAAGCATACCTGCACCTCAACCTCTGAGACCTCCCCGTCTTCATCTGCATCCAGCTCTTTGTGGGCCTGCAACTCCTGCACGGAAACGCTGGAACACACGGACCACAACCGCAACAAATGCACCCGCCATTCGCCACCGAGAGGCCGTGACGTCAACGCAGAGAGATTACAAAGAGGAAAGCAGGGATCAGAGAACTCATGCCGATTATATATGTCGTATTGACTATTCACCGCTTTCCCGTCCGATGACGAGCGTGTACGTCGTAAATTTTTCTTCACGTCATAAATTTTTCTTCCGATTCCATTCAAAACTTAAAGCGTAACTGAAAGAAAATGAAAAATAAAATAACTTGATCGGTACCGAGGCTCCCACAAGGCCATGCGAGAGAGAGTGTGGCACAGTTTGGTGCCAGCTATCATAGAGTGCAGTCGTGTCACTATGGTTCTCTGCGATGAGTACAATGTCTTTCAAAACAATGGCACTACGGCTCTCTAAATAGAATTAACGCAGAGCTGCTTGTGCCTTCCGAGATTCAGAGGTGACCGGGATCCACTCTGCTACTTACAGACGTCTCGGAACGGGTAAAAAAGGCCGAGCGAGCTTGGGCAGAATGATGGCTGATGGACAAGACCAGAGATGGATTGGCAGTCAAAGAGAGGGAACACGCCCACGGTGACGACTACCGTTGATAAGACTGGCCCACGTACAGAACCAATATTAATTAAGGCATTATAAGAGCCGTGAGAGATGGCAACACACACGAGGATATATTTTCATCCAGAATTGGATTGCTCGTGGCTTTTTATGATCTTCGTGCCGCCGATGTTCATGCAGAGCAACAACTGTACATTGAGGTGGCGGAGCCAGATAATTACGTCAGGAGCAGCCGAGTGTATCGCTGTGCAGTTGCCTCCTTCGTATTTGTGAATCGGGCACTGAGTCGTCATATGCTCCAAGGTCTGTTCTAGGTGATCAGTCACAGCACAACGGATTTTACATTTGCGCATCAAGTATCCGGATCCGCTGCATGGTGTAAGGGGATGTGTAGCAGCTAGTGCGCTGCGCTACGGAGTATTAGTGTAGTAGCTAGCGCGCTGCGCTACAAACTCAGTGACCCGAGTTCAATTCTAACTCACAACCAACACCAGTGACGATTATCTGAACCAGTTCTGGGCCTCCCCTAGGTCGACTCAGTCTCAGATGAGTACCTGGTGCGGTGTGTAAAAACATCGCCACTGGGGAAACGAAGGTGGTCAGGTGTTGTGCTGGCCATCTACCCCCTCGTGGACCAGGCAGCGACGTTGCCAGGAGATGGCCGTATATTACACGGGTGGTGAACCCATCTGTGAGGAATGGTGCCTTTCATCCCTGGGCCAATGACCGGACCAAGATGTCAGAGATGAGAGGGTGATGATGAGAGGGGAGGCAACAGAGCAAGGAGCAATCGGAAGTGAGCTGCACGGAGCAGCGTCTGTTTTCACAGAGCGGGTGGGGAGAGGGGAGGGATTCAACGTGGGGGTGACCACATAGAATCTACGTGATTTTTAGAAATGTTAAAAGCTCATAATATTATTTTTATGCAAACGAGGTCCATAATTACGTTTAACCAGATAATTTGTCTTATCGGCTCCCAGTGTTGATTATGTATCCCTACCATTTAAAATAACATCCTGGATAAAAACATCCCCATTGCAAAACCCTAACGGATAGGACTGTGCCATTGGGGAGGTGTGTGTGTCTGTGTGTGTGCGGGGGAGTGGAGGTGGGTGGGGGGTGGTGGCTGTTGAACCTCAATGGCCTTCCCACTATATTGCACAAACCGGTGAGTGGCGAGGGTCAGGTGAGTTTGAGCGGTGAGCGGTGTAACGCGAGTGGCCAATGACGATGGTGGGTTGTGAGTGTCATATCAACTCCGTCCATAGGACAGACTGCCCACGAGTAGCACACCATGCGAAATGAACTTGCGCGCTGCAGAAGAAAACTACGACAAATGCACAGCACTTGTTGAAATTTAAAACAAAACGCAATGCTACTCACAACCCATCCGAGTTTTCGTCCAGTTTGGAGAATGCTGCTCCCGCCTTCTCCTTCTCCACCTCCTTGCGTCGGGCTTCCTTCATCTCTGCAAACAAAACGCACAACACACGCACATGTGCACACACAACATTCAAATAAACTTGATCGCAGCTGCAAACCACAAGTATCGATCCGATGACAAAAAAAACAGCCGGGTAACCGCGATCGCTCAAGTTAGCATAGTAGACGAGAATCAAGTCCACGAGAAAACTCTCAATGAAAATCAGAAAATTATGACGGCATGAATAAAAATGTGTCATTTATTCTTTTAAATGTTATCCACAATCACCACCACCCTGGCCATAATCATTGCCGTCACCACTGTTGTCACTGCGACCATCATCGTAGGTGTCAGTCATCACCGCCAACACCATCATCATCATCATGGTTGTCGTCAAAGTCATCAGTGCTGGGTGTAAACGCTAAAGGTTGTGAGTCTGAACACTGCCTTCAAAGCAAACGCGGTTGGTTAAAACATATCAATCACACGACACAAAGGGGCACGCGCGATCCATGTTTACTTGCGCACGTTCGCGTTTATAAACGTACACACGTGGAAGCACCGCAGCCAAGGTACAACAAATAAAGAAACAAAGATCCCCTGCATAGCCTTAAACACTGTTGGGGCAAGTGATGTTAGCGAGCACCTACGTAGCCCAACACGGCGCACGAGAGGATGAGTGGCCAGCACCCAGTGCTGACGTCTACACACAGCACCAGGTACTCATTTCAGGCCGAGTTGACATAGGGGAGGCCCAGGACAGGTTTAGATATGCGTCACTGATGTTGGCCGTGAGCGCGAATCGAACCCGAATTCGATTTGCGCCGGGTTCGTAGCGCAGTGCGCTAACCACTGCGCCACCGTTCCCCACTCCCCCAACCGTCCACACGCATGCGCGAGCACAATGGGCGATCGTCGGGCCATCCGCGAGGTGGCCGTGTGGTCGACGGCTCGGTTGGGTGCACGGGTTAAACGAGCGTCACTGAGTGAGGGCCCCCACGGCTTGTCTCGCTTTTCTTTATCTTCACCCTGGAACCGTCCAGCCCCGGGGGCCAGCTGACGGCTCGCACAGAAATCACAGTTTATTTAGGCGTTATTGGCGGCGTAATGACCGCCGGTCGGGCAAAGAACACAAACAAATTGCGGCGGGATCGCGTTTCGATGCGGTCCTTGCGCAAATAAATCTATTTTTTCTTTTCGTCCGTTTATTTCTTGTTATTCTTTTTAAATATATATTTATATTTTTCCATCGCGGCAGCGGCCTCCTGCTGCGCTTTGGTTCACGAGCGGTGCACGTGTCGTTTGAGTGCCACAAAAGAGCGGGAAGGCAGCAGCCTCCGGAGTGATTTAGAACCTCCGCTTGGTACCGCGGCGAGAGAAAAATCAGCAACACCCTTTGCCTTTTGAGTACGCCTTTGAATTTAGATTTTTATTTTGTGTTATCAGCAATCGCAATGAACATTTATGGACAAGCCATCGGTTTGCAGAACATATAGAAACGTCCAATAATTAAAGTGAAAATCCAGCGCTGTGTCCGTTTGAGCGGCGTCCTGTCATGGCGTCGGAACGCGCCGTGCGGTTCGAACGCTCGCATGCACACTTTTCATTGGCAGAAAGGGTAAAACCTATTCTTAATGTTTCATCATTTAGATGCTGGCAAAAATTGTCCCATGGATAAGTAATAATCTGGTTCAGTTTGTTACCTTCCCACGATGCCTGATGCCTCTCCTTGGCTTCCTTTTCCGGCGACTCCACCGTCTCCTTCTGCTGCTGCAAGGCGTGCACTTTGTCCTCCCAAGCCTGCTTCGCATCCTTCAGCGACTCCAACTTCTTCTGCACTCCTCAAGCAGCGCACGCAGATGGAGGTGCGAGATGGGAGAGAGCGGTGGCACAGCGGTTAGCGCACACCGAGCTAACATCTGGGCGAGTCGAGTTCGGACGCTGCCATTTAAACCAACTCAGGCGGGAGCAGCAGCAGCAGCGGCGATGAGCGCACTGGGCTATGAACGCAGCCACCCGAGTTTGATTCACGGCCACAGCAAACATCAGTGACGCCTTTGCAGACCTCGACATTGGCAACACATTTTCATATGCAAGGATGGAAAAAAATAGCTGAAACATCATCAGCCAATTATCTTCACAATTTACCACAGTTAACATAACTGGCAAGTGACGTAAGGGGACCATTCCTAGGCCCTACCCTTTTCACGACCCAAACAGATGAGTGTTGTAAAATAATGATCAAACAACCACGGTGTCAGGAGGCATTTATCTAGATGTACGTTTAACTTATTTCGCACCGTACGTGGCCAACCGTGCTAATAGGAGTGAAGGAAAAAAGAGCTGTAATTCTTTCTGGTTATAAAACTGAAATAGTCAAGGCAACACATCCGTTACGTTATTTTTGTTCAGACCAATTGAGCCAATGGACTTTTTATCAATGGTGACCCTGCCAAACCTGCCAATACAGCAGCAAGCACGTGACATAGTAAGGGAGGCATGCCTCATCTTGAGCAAGAAAGGCCTGGGGAAAATAGTTGACACATGGGTACAAGATAACAATTGTTTGCTTACGGAGCTAGGTATAATCCATGATATGAAATGTTATCTTGATGGTGCAAATGAAATGTGAAGTGCATATGCAATGATTCATAATTGGTTTATTGAGTTAGATCATTGAAAGTATTTTTTGTATAACCCTCCACCAATCAGAGTCAATCTAATCAAGTTGTCATGTGGGCAACAATGCCAAAAAATTTGATGTTTCGGCAAACCGGCGGAAAAATGTTGAAAATGGAGATTTTGACAATTTTGCATGATGTTTCGCTGGAGCTTACAACCGGCATCATCATCATCTGTTAAAAAAAGCTCGGTTTGGTAGTGGAATGATACTAAAGATGCAATAAAAGAGGAAAGACATTGATCTCCCTTATAGCCTTAACAGACTGTTGGGGAAAGTTCTGTTAGTGAGCACTTTTAAAGGTTGGCACGGCACATGGGGTAGTGGATGGCCAGCACAACACCTGTCTTCCTCGTGGCGATGTTTAGACATTCATAACACAAGTTTTTTGGGTTAAACCCGCCACCACCCGACACAGCCAATTAGTAAGGTTTGTCACAAACAGAACATGCCAATTCGTTACTAATGCAGCACACTGGTGTGTTGGAGAGTAAATCCACAACATTTACAATTCGAGTATGACGTTTCACCAGTAATTACAACCAGCATCATCAGGCGACAGCCAGATTGTAATTTATATGTATTGATTAACCCCTCCCCCCCCCTCTGGCCTTCGCACGAGGGCTCACAAGTGATGACATCACATTCATCCCTCTATTTAAGGAACGAAACAGGAGGATTTCTCCACAAACCTGACTGTCACCTGATGATGTTGGTTGTAATTACTGGCGAAACGTCGCGCTCAGATTGTAAATCTTGTGGATTTACTCTCCAACACACCGGTTAGTGCTGTACTAGTAACGAATTGGCATGTTCTGCTTACGTGACAAACCTTACTAATTGGCTGTGTCGGGTGGTGGCGGGTTTAACGACACATTTATATTTACACGATCCAACCCAAAAAAACCTGCATTATGGATACTGGTCACGAAGTCTTACGTGTTAAACTGATGTTTAGACACTGCAGCAGGGACTCATATCGGGGCGAGTCAACCCAGGGGTGGAGCAGGGCCTGTTCAAATAATCGTCACTGATACTGGTGGCTACGAGCATAAATCGAGCTCGAGGTTGCCCGGTTCGTAGCGCAGCGCACTGACCACTGTGCCACCGCGCGGTGCACGTGTGCGCACACGCAACAAAGACCCCCCGTATAGCTGTAACAGACTGTTGGGGCAAGTGCTGTTAGCAAGCAACTATGAAGGCTGCCACGGCACACGAGGGGGTGGGTGGCCAGCACCATGCACACAGTCACTAACATGCACTTGCACACACGTGCGCACACACGTGCACACCACACACAACAACTAGCAAGGCAGGTGTGAACTCCGAATGCACCCAATGACTGCTTGGAAAGCACCTCTGACCTTGTGCAAGGACAGAGAAAAGGTGACTCGCTTGCATATCCCGCTCTGTCTTTAGTTTTTAATAAACGTTTTGTTCGTTCGCTCCCTTCAGCATAGCAGCGGCGCTTAAAACAAAGAGTGGGCAATCGGTCATCGAGCCTACAAATCAATCAGTCAGTGGCTTTGTGCGAAAACAGGTGAGAGTCAATCAGGATACAAAGTCACGGTGGCAACGAGGAGGGGAGGGGGTGGTGGGGGGTAAGAGGGTGGCGGAGTTTGGAGGGTTAGCGATGGGGTCGAAGGCGCTTCTGTCTTTGCAATTGTGCGCGCATTTTTAGTTTACTTTTTGGACATTTGTTTTACGTGTTTTGTCAAGTGACCTCCGCAACGCCGGTGGCACTGAATAGAACAAAGACGAGTGTTGGGAGGAGGTGACAACAGGGGGGGGTGGCACGGTGGGGGGCGGGGGGGTTGTGGCAGAGGGGGGTTTCAAGTCTCATCGTACAGAAGCGCCGCTCGACCAAAACTGGTGGCTCAAGCGAAACTCGATTTGAATGTTTAAAAAAATAATAACTCGCACAGGAAAACAACACACTTTAATTTAGAACTGTGTTAGTTTAGCCCGGATGGGGAAACGTGGTTTTGTTGAGTGATACAGCAGAGCGAACAAGTTAAGAATGGCCAACCAATGTAATTATTCTTTGAGGATTTTTTTTTCCCCCGCAAAGCAAAAAATTCCGCGAGCTCATCGCTACCCTTAAGTGTGTTGTGCTAGGCCGAGGCTGTAATTTAGAAGGGCTGCGTGCAATGTAACCTGTTCAGTCTTAGCGGCATTGTACTACTGTCGTGCGGTACTGTGACGAAGAGAAAAATATGCTGAACACTCTACAAATCAAGCGGTCGGCACTGCAGTGTCAACTAAGCATCGAATTACGTGGGGAGAGAAAGTGGCCTGCGTGGCTCAGGGTGGGCTCATGATGGCCGTGTCAGGCCACTGAAGGAGCACTGCGGAAAAACTGGAATGGAATCTGGGCTTCATCCCAAGATGAAATCACCCTCCCAGAGTTTGATGGATTATCACGATTCCGGGTAGCGATTTGATTCATAAGTCAATTCCGTCCATTAACAAACCCCAAACATTCGATCATCATCACCGTCAACCATGATCCATCCACTGCTTGATGAAGGCATCTCTCAGTCTCATTGTACAACAATGCATCTGCAAGGACGACTCAATTGGAATTATACGTCGCAACCATCTCACCCGACGGCAGAAACTTTAAAAGCCTTGAAACTTGCCGAGCCTTCATAGACAAACAAGCACAGTAATAAAATAAAGGTCCTGAACGTAAGCTCATGGCTCCATCTCCGTGGCAGACGTGTTCTCACTCGCGTTCCCTCCTTTGACTGCCACTCCATCGTTAGTCTCAACCACCGGCCATCATCCCTTCTAGCGACCGGTCCCATCCGAGCCCAATTATATTCCTTAACAGTCAAAATTATGTCTGTAACGTGTGTTTTCTCTGATAAGCGGTCCTCTGTCAGTGTAATGCCAAGCAAGCACCTCTCTAAGATTATTTATGCACTATTCAGATGTTGTTCCATTTCCTTAGCATAGATGTCCATGTTTTCCAATCCGCATCTTTTCTCCCCAATTGTATCCCAATCGTGCAATCGGATCTCACGTTAAGAGATGACAAATCCATTTGGAACTCTCACAGACCATACATACTCTTTGGTTCTTTCCGTAAAGTCACGCAGGTATGAAATAAAATAAATCACGACGTTTCGGGCACAACACAAGCGTCCATCATCAGGTGATGATTTATTTTATACCTACGTGACTTTACCGAAAGAACCAAAGAGTATGGATTCTTGCAGTCATGAAAGCTTCAAATCAAGATCTCACAGACCAGTGTAAGGGTTTACGTTTGAGAATTGCCTACGGAAGCAGATACCACAGAACTACCTCTGAACTCCTTTAAAGTGTGATCTACGATCCACACAAGTAGGGGCCAGCACTTTCCCACTCATCCTGTTCGTGGTGTGGCAGTCAAATAAATAATCTGAAATCTCAAAAGTTAGCAATTAAGTACGGTGATAACCGGGCTGAAATTGTGACCTCACTACACTTGCAAAACCAGTTTAATCACAAGCGCATGTCTGGATTTGGAAATAAATTATTCAGAGACAAGCAAAATACATTCCAATTGCAAATTACTGTAGTAATAAAACATAAATACAAATTAACCTAGTAATTGTATAAACATCCCATGTAATTTAGGTATAAATTACCAATTACTTTGAGGTGTTCACATCAGTTACCAATTACCAACGAGAAATATAATAAAATGGCATGCTTAAATTACGCATAATTTAGCTACTGCCCTTCTCCGCCCAGCGTCTCAGCAGCACCAGCTAACCGCTTTGACCTCTGAGCAAAATCTGACTGGCAAGCACAAATAAGTTCACCGTTATTATTTTACATACAGCCATTTTTCATCACGGCGGCTGGCCTGCTTTCGTTCCCGACCAGTTCTGCCCTGGCGCGTGCCGTATGTCACAACACGGCGCCACCACCGCCGCAGAAAGGGGCCCTCCCCTTTGTTGGCAGAAAATGAAAATAAAATGAAAACCGAGAGACACTTGTATTCAAGCTATATCACCCGGGCCCTCTTGGCAGACGCGCACCACAAAGGCCTTTGTAGCCGGTGCCTCGCCCCAGCCCACTCTGCTGGGGCCACTTCTCCTCTTTGGCTTAGATTTCTTTTTTTTTTTACAAGCTCCGCTTTTGTCTAATAATAGTAGTGATGACAATGAATTTAAATAGATGTGAAAACACGACTTTTTTTCACCACGGTTGCAGAGCACAGCTCCGAATGGCCAACTCGCCAAACAGCCAGCTCAGAGCGGTGTAACTGAAGTTGCAACCGATTAGAGATAACACGTTGCTCGAAGTGAGCGAGGTATTTTTATTATTAGAAGAAGTTCATAAAGGAGATGATCAGGGATTCCAAAATTGGACAGAGTGTGAGGAAAGGAGCAGAAAGAAGGCTTTTGACATCCAGTGTGGTTAGGTGGGCGAGTGGTTGAGTGGGTGAGGGAGTGAGAGGGTGAGTTGGTGGGTGAGTTTGAGTGGGAAAGTGAGCGAGTGTGTGACTTTGTGTGCGAGTGAGCGGGTGTGTATGTTGTGATCTGCAGTGTGGTGGTGGTGGTTGAACACAGCATGGATGAGACGAAACAGTCTGTGTAGTAGACAGAATCCTCAACATGGGTGGTGGATTCAATGAATGATGTTCACTGGAGCAGTAACCATGGTCGTAGTAAGAGAAAAGTGATGAGGAGGTGACAGGCCACCAGTGAATAAGTGATGGAAGTGAACATTAAAACGCGTGACAAATGCATTCATGAGGTGGGGGGGGGTAAAACAATGGGCAAATAAATACATATTTCTGGAAGCAGAGCATTCATGGGTTTTAGAATGCTTAACATGGGAGAAACAAAATCTCAAAATCTATGTAATGTGACCTACAGTGCCTATTCATACATTGGGAATTTGAAGTTCGGGAGAGCAGTGGTCTCAATATGTTTACCAATGGCAGCACACAAAAACCATCTCGTTAAATTTGGTTCTGTGCTTAACTCGTGCAAAATTCCCACTACAACAGGCACCGAGCCGACACCATTGAGGGCCTGGGTTCAAGTCTTGGCTCTCAGGGCCCGTGAATAAACCACATCTCAAGTGGATAGTCTCAGGCAGGTGACCAATGTCTGCACAAAATAAACCCATCATCATCAAACACATTATTTGATGATGCTGCGTTAGCAGTGGTAACACAAACTAAACACATTATTTGATGATGCTGCGTTAGCAGTGGTAACACAAACTAAACACATTCGTCAATAACACTGTGGCCTAAAAAAGGAAACATATAATGGGCACCGATTTGGATAAGGAACATTCTTTAAGGCATACAGCACATCATTATAACAAAGTTTGTTTCACATCAATGTGGTTTTATTGGCATGCAAATATTTTTGCATGGCACATTTTATTATTATCATTATTATGCTCAAGACTATTTTCCTGCCAAGTTTTTAACAGTAGGGGGACAATTCTGCTACGTGTCATTAAAATTTAGTAATTTGTAGTTACTTTTTCAGGATGGGAATGTGTGACCAAGATGGCGAGGCAACATGTTGTATGAAGAGAGGAAATAAGTATAACCCGTAAAAACAAAGTTTTTCACTATAAATCCTTTATATGCGTGGCAGCGAACTTAATATAAAGGATTTAAAAATATATTCGCCTGTGGAGGATGCGGGGATCGATCCCGCGACCTTTGGCATGGGAAGCGAGGGCGCTACCAACTGCGCTACTCCGCCACGGCCTGTGGAGGGGTTACGCTCTGGGCTCTTATACTGTGACGTTCAACCAAAGCCAAGAATGAGTTCTATTTGAATATATGTAAAATAATTTTTTTTTGCCTAAAAAGTGTAAAATTTTGGGAATTTTTTTTCACGAACATTAATTGTCTGGCACAACGAGTCTGTGTGGAAAATGTCAGCTCGATTGGATCACGGGAAGTGGATTAAAAAACGACCGAAAGATTTGCACGGTCGTAAGCAAGCACGCAAGCAAGCAAGCATGCGAACTTAATATAAAGGATTTAAAAACCACATGGAATGACCATGGAGAGGCATCAGGGCTGAGACTGAGAGGCAGGGCCTAGAGCAGTGGTTCTTGACCTGGGGTGCACGCACCGCCTTGGAGTGCGAGATGCTCTTTTTGAACACAGCGTTTCAATGTTTTTTTTATTGGAATATTTGCTGGTTTATTCCAGGATGTGTCTGTTGTGCGTCGTCGCTTTGGGATGCTCTGTGTTCATATTTAGTTTGTTGCGGTTGCACCCGACTTAAGAGCCGCATGGCACACAGGGCTATACCTAGTCAATTAAACTTTCTGGGGGTTCGAGACATTGCAAATTATTTTTTTAAGTAAATGTTTTTGAAAGTAATTATCGAAACACAAATTAAGCATGGTCATGTAAATACAACTACTTTGTTTCATCAAACCTATGTATTTATTAACATTAACATGTTTTAACAATTGAGAACCCAAGGGGTGCAAGGCTGCAGTGAAGATTAAGAACCACCGGCCTCGATAGAGGTGGCCCCAGTAGATGAACCATCGACATGAAGAACTGTGGAGACGATGGCCCAGGACAGGAGGGAATGGAAAAAGATGAGCAGGGAGTAGGCATCAGTCCCCATACGAGTGGGATACTAACGCCAGTAAGAAAATGAGGACATTGACTCCAACAACAAAAAATGTAATATTGGAAGAGAATAATAAAAATATACGTGACTTTACCGAAAGAACCAAGAATACGAAACCCTCCAGTCACGAAAGATTTAAATCAAAATTGGAAGAAAAATTAAATTTACGAGGAATAAATGCATCTCATTGTAGCAGCTCTGCCAGGGAGGGTGTGGGCCACCCTTTATCCTCAAGTTTCGCTCACACTGGATCATCTTCTTAAGAGCTACTGTGTCCCCTCCCCCTTTATTGATGGACGGACAGACAGATGGGCGGGCAAATATAATGCATTCAAACTTTCAACCAGTGCCGAAAAGCATGAAAGAGAATGTTGTTGTTCACTGTGGGGGGGGGCGCAGGCACGCACTACTTCTCACGCACCTGCTTCTCCTCCTTGCCGCGTTTCGTCTCCTCCATGAGCTGCTGCTTGATGCGGAAGCCCTCGGCCGCCACCTCCGCCTGCCTGGCCATGTTCTCTCGGTCCTTCTGGCCCAGCTCCCTGGTGGGCGAACAATTCAGGGGGGGGGGACCCCTTGCCTTACTGAGGGCCTACAAGGACTTTCAAACAACTTAGTGAGGCCACGCCGGTTAACACGCACGGCGGTCACTTCCACAGCTGCGGGAGGCAATGAGAGTGACGCAGGTGACTTACCGTGTTGAAATTAGAAACACGGTCGAATTAGAGACACAATCGAGATATCCCCCTCTAATACCTTTAGTAGTGTGATTAAGATGCTCCTAGCAGCACCTCCGATTAGCACGGTTGGCTACATACTATGCGAAAGAAGTTCAACATGCACACGTGCAAGTGTAGAGTCCCATGTGACCGCGGGCCATAGGTTCACCACCGATGTCATACATAACCCTATCACCTTGCCACCATCATTGATGTCAACGGAGAGGCCACGGGAAGTGGTGGATAAGAAGGCAAAACCCTGTAAAACAGCGCTTGACTTGGGACTCGTTGGTGCTGCGCTGGCTGCTCCTGGGGCTCGCAGTGGCTCTCCGTGTTGTTGTTGAACCCCAGTGGCTTTCATCCAGCACCGTGCCGCAGTCTCCCCCGTGTTACTCTTGCACGCTTCTCCGGCCTGATCTCTGACCCAGACTGCTTTCCACCCAAACGTAGTGTTTTCTTGAAATGCTTTTGTATTTAATTTGTTGTCTTGTACACATGTATCCCAAGTTGTGTGTCCCAGGTCTGTCTGACACCAGCCTTAAGTGCCATTTATGGCTAAGCAAGCCTTTACAAATCAAGCATTCAATTTTTGTATTCCAAAGACATCATGCAGTTGCATTGTATTTCACTGCATTTGACATCACAATGAAATCACTAGGGTGCCATGAAAACGTTCCCGACCATAATAAGTAATTTTCATCGTTGAACAAATTACTTAATGATGCCGTGTTAGCAGTGGTGCACAAGAACAATTCTAAACAAACAAAACTAAATTCGTCAATAAAAGCGGATCTTAGAAGAAAAATATATTTTAAAAAGGCGATGATTCAGTTAATGGCCCGTAGCATGTGAAGAATAGGGTTGAGCCTGAATTGTGCATAGACACGTGACCAACATGCACACCAGGTTGTCATCGGTGTCCACAGGGCTGTGCCACGTGGTGGGCAGCAAAGGGCTGTGCAGGAAACTACCAGGTAGTACTGTACTTCTAGGCTCCCAACTCTAGCCCCCCACCGAACTGCAGAGTGAAGCATGGTCATATGACCATCACGACGCGCACGGCGTGGGCAGGCGGACAGATGCGTGCGTTACCTTAGTGGTGTAAGTTCAATGTTTTGCGATAGGCAATTAGTCTTCTGAGCCATCTAACTAAACAACCCAAACCCATGTAACCTTAAGTAGACAAAGCTTCCTTACTTGCACGTGTTCTCACAGACAGCACCACTGTTGTATTCATCCGTGGTGTCACAGCAATCTGCAAGGATCCAGAAAAGACGCGAATATAAACTCGTCGTTGCAAAAAAATTATTGTTTACACGAGCTGTGTCAAACTTAAAAAAATACTTCATGTAGCATCACTATTACCCGCAATTCGTTAACCACGGACTCCCAATCAGATCACACACAATTGTGCTCAAAGGCTGCTTACGTTCCACATTATGAATTCAGAGAGTCTGGGATGGGTTCACCCTCCACACCAACCACGAAGGTCTCTCCTAGCAAAGCCCCAAGTGAACGTCCTCTTCCTATCGCTAAGCCTCAACAGGGTCGGTCAATCTTGACCCAACAGAACTTGCTCATATTTCATGAGTAAACTAAAATGACCTTTATAGGAGTGGAGCAGTCGTGCGGTGGTGCGGTGGTGCAGTGGTAAGCGCACTGCGCTATGAACCCGATGCACCGGCAACTGCCAAGCGTAAAAGTTGCTGTAGGCTGCGGAGCAACGTTGTGTGCAGCAGAGGGCAGAGTTGCACAATCAACTGTTGTACTGCACGTGTATGCTGTGTCTGCTACTCCTTCACCAACCCGGCACGGACCAAGCATGGGCAAAACATCTCCATGACCCGTATGATGCCAAGGGTCCCGTCATCCACGAGTGGATTGGTAAAAGGGCTGTAAAATTCTACTATTACATAATATGCATTTATCATAAACACAGCCAAACCCTGGACCACATCTTCTGCCCGATTCGACCATTTACGGGTAACATCACGGACATTCGCAAAATCGCCGCTGCACTGGCTTAACTCGACGCGAACACAAACCCGCTGCCAATCACCCAAAACCTGCCTCCGACTCCCACCACACAAACAGAGAAGACTCCTAAATAATGGCACACTGCCAATTGACGCGCCGATGAGACTTTCAGGGACAGAACACGTCGCAAAAGGTCTCCCTCCCGGCACTTGGCGCGGCGTCGTACCGCAAATGCCGTCGTTGACGCGCGAGGAGGGGATGTTCTGCGGACGATAGCCCGCGTTGGTGCAGTGGAAGTTTCCGTTGGGGCATGCCGACGTCCCTGTGGAGAGACAGAGAGAGAGACAGAGAGACAGAGACAGAGAAACGCAACAGCAGCACAGAGAGGGAGGCACAGAAAGGGAGACATCCTTGTTTGTAAGCCTTTATGAGCAACCACATGCACAGAGCGTACTTGAGGGATGCCCTAGAAAAACTTGAAGACCCACCTATATATATATTGATGCCTCTCCAACTAAAGTTGACAGTGCTCATGAATTAGTTCTGTCCATCCATTCCTTCCATGTGTGGGATCGCTAGCTACTTTTCCGAAGCTGTTGGGTCGCATCTTCATTGAAGCCAGAGATGCAGAACCTAAGCCCCTTGGGTCACACGCGCTCTTGTAACTGCGTTGTCAGCCCCCGGCGAGGCCTACACTTGTACACAGACAGCACATTGTATCCATAACTGCTGCACTAATCAGGTACTTGGAGGCGGGGGGGGATAATTTAGACCTGACAACAGCAGCGTTTGTGACTTCAGTGTACCCAGTTTATCTGCAGTCTCTCAAGTAATTTCTGAGCACGCAGTGAATAGGGAGTAACAACGCGATCAAAGCTTCGTGGCAATTGACTAATACGTCACCTGTCAAAAATATTTTCAAAGTTCACTCAGCTCTTGTAAGTAAAAGGTCCCCCTCCTCCCCCCCACCTTGCTGTAGGCCCCCCCTCCTTCCCCCCACCTTGCTGTAGCCCCCCCCCCTCCTCCCACCTTGCTTTAGGCAGCACAGCGAGCCGTGCAAATCACCTGGTTCATCGGAGCCATCCTTGCAGTCGCAGTAGTCATCGTTCACACGGTCAAAGGGCATGGTCTTGGAGCCATCAAGGCACGTGAAATCCTTGGTCTCATCATAAAGCGGACGCTCTGGAAACGTGGGAGGAGGGTAAGTGACAGTAGTCAGTTTAACAACGTAGCCTTTCGCGGCCAATATTATTCACAATAAAGTGAGAGAACGTGAACTCAAAAATGAATATCAGTGCCAGTATGTCACAATATTGTTCTACAATGTGGTTTGATTAAAGCGGAGCAAAACTCTGGATGCCAAAAGTGTCCGCCTACTCAGGTTTGCTTGGTCGTTCTGCTCTTCAGCATTAGTAGCCCTGAGAACATGGTGGAAATTCCACATCGCTATGGCGGGGACCAGTCGATGAATCAGGACTAATGTTGACTTCTAACAAAATGGTAGTTGTTTTGTTCACCCTGGAGGATCGGAAGCAGAGAGGACTCCCCAAACAAAATCTTAAGTCACGGCTGTCGTTTTTTTGTGGAAAGCGCTCTGCCACAATTCCAACAGGATAGCTAAAACACAATGATGTTTATGAATGACGAAAATACCGTGATGAGGTTGTTAGCGTGACAACGCAATTAAACATTTTCACTTTTCTAATTAAAACATTACAAAATGGTGAGCGGTGACACAGTGGTTCGTGCATTGCACTGCGACACAAGCGACCTCAAGTTCGACTTAAAGCTTTCGTGACTGCAGGGATTCATCTTCTTGGTTCTTTCGGTAAAGTCACGTAGAAGGGAAATAATAAAATAATAAAAATTAAACATTAAATAATTCTCACGACGTTTCGGCCACAACGCAAGCAGCCGTGATAATTATTTTATTATGTTTTATTTTTATTATTTTACTATTTCCCTTCTACGTGACTTTACCGAAAGAACCGAGAAGAAGCGACCTCAAGTTCGATTCCTGGCAACGTCTAACATCAGTGGCGAGTGCCATCTGAACCAGCCCTGGACTCACCACCCGTATGACCGAACAACCCTCACCACTGGCCCAGCATAGGAAGGTGCCTTCATCTAGCAGTGGTTTGACAAAACAGCTGTACATTGTTATTTATTTTAATGGAAGACAACTAACACTCAAGGAATGATTCAGTGTAATGGGATTCAACATTACAGAATTGCACGGGTCAATCCCACGGCGGATGATGACCTCTTCATGCCGTGTTGGTCGTGGGGGGTGGGGGTTACGTGACCATACTTCACCACGCCGGTCAGTGCGGGTTGGTGAAGCCAGGGAGCAGAGGAGTGGGAGCATAGCCGTACAGTACAACAATGAAAACTTCTTCTGCACTCCGTTCTGCTTGCCACCACCAAACACGCGTAGCCGCAGCCTATAACACCTGCGTTGTGAATGGCGTTCGCCCAAACCAAGCACCTGTCCAGGCTCAACACCCGCTTAGCTTTCGAGATCTGCTGCAAAGAGATGCAGCTCATCGCGGGGGGCGGGAGGGGTCCCACTTAGCCCACGGACACACTTAACCGCATTTAACTCACGTAAACCTCATTGAATGTAAATGCAGCAATAACATTATTTAAACTCTGGGCGCCGAATGTATCGTCACCGACGCCGGTTTCTCCATCCTCTCACCCCCCCCCCCCCACCAATTAACTCCAAAAGCCTCAATTAACTTCACGAGTTAGAGGCGGGCACCGCGGGTTGCACCACCGGCCCACACTGGCCGCGGCTCACATCAGTGGCGCCGACTGGCACCCCGAGGACTAACACAGCGTGGCGGTGGCCTTCATCCAGCAGTGGATAGAGCCAGTGGTGGTGGTGGTGGTTGTGTTGGTGATGGTGGTGGTGGTTGTGTTGGTGATGGTGGTGGTGGTTGTGTTGGTGGTGGTGATGTTGGTGGTGGTGGTTGTGTTGGTGGTGGTGGTTGTGGTGGTGGTGGTTGTGTTGGTGGTGGTGGTTGTGGTGGTAGTTGTGTTGGTGGTGTTGGTGGTGGTGGTTGTGGTGGTGGTGGTGTTGGTGGTGGTGGTGGTGGTTGTGTTGATGGTGGTGGTTGTGTTGATGGTGGTGGTTGTGTTGATGGTGGTGGTTGTGTTGATGGTGGTGGTTGTGTTGGTGGTTGTGGTGGTGGTGGTTGTGGTGGTGGTGGTTGTGTTGGTGGTGGTGGTTGTGTTGGTGGTGGTGGTTGTGTTGGTTGTGGTGGTGGTTGTGTTGGTGGTTGTGGTGGTGGTGGTTGTGTTGGTGGTTGTGATGGTGGTTGTGTTGGTGGTTGTGTTGGTGGCTGTGTTGGTGGTTGTGTTGGTGGTGTTGGTGGTTGTGTTGGTGGTTGTGTTGGTGGTTGTGTTGGTGGTGTTGGTGGTTGTGTTGGTGGTTGTGGTGGTGGTTATGTTGGTGGTTGTGGTGGTTGTGTTGGTGGTGGTTGTGTTGGTGATGGTGGTGGTGGTTGTGGTGGTTGTGTTGGTGGTGGTTGTGGTGGTTGTGTTGGTGGTGGTGGTTGTGTTGGTGGTGGTGGTTGTGTTGGTGGTTGTGGTGGTGGTTGTGTTGGTGGTTGTGGTGGTGGTGGTTGTGGTGGTGGTTGTGGTGGTGGTGGTGGTGGTGGTTGTGTTGGTGGTGGTGGTTGTGGTGGTGGTTGTGTTGGTGGTGGTGGTTGTGGTGGTGGTGGTTGTGGTGGTGGTGGTTGTGGTGGTGGTGGTGGTTGTGGTGGTGGTGGTGGTGTTGGTGGTGGTGGTTGTGTTGGTGGTGGTGGTTGTGTTGGTGGTGGTGGTTGTGGTGGTGGTGGTTGTGTTGGTGGTTGTGGTGGTGGTTGTGTTGGTGGTGGTGGTGGTTGTGGTGGTGGTGGTGGTTGTGGTGGTGGTGGTTGTGTTGGTGGTGGTGGTTGTGGTGGTGGTGGTTGTGGTGGTGGTGTTGGTGGTGGTGGTTGTGTTGGTGGTTGTGTTGGTGGTGGTGGTTGTGTTGGTGGTTGTGGTGCTTGTGTTGGTGGTTGTGTTGGTGGTGGTGGTTGTGTTGGTGGTGGTGGTTGTGTTGGTGGTGGTGGTTGTGTTGGTGGTTGTGTTGACGGTGGTGGTTGTGTTGGTGGTGGTTGTGTTGATGGTGGTGGTTGTGTTGGTGGTGGTTGTGTTGGTGGTGGTGTTGGTGGTTGTGTTGGTGTTGGTGGTTGTGTTGGTGGTGGTGGTGGTTGTGTTGGTGGTGGTGGTTGTGTTGGTGGTGGTGGTTGTGTTGGTGGTTGTGTTGGTGGTGGTTGTGTTGGTGGTGGTGGTTGTGTTGGTGGTGGTGGTGGTTGTGTTGGTGGTGGTGGTTGTGGTGGTGGTGGTTGTGTTGATGGTGGTGGTGGTTGTGGTGGTGGTGGTGGTGAGGCCTACTCCACTCACTCGTCACGGACACGCCGCGAGGTCGTCTCACTTCGGCCGCGGACGCCGCGCAAATGAAAGCGAGGATGAGCGCGAACCTCGGCATCGTTCTCTCAATTCCACGCGAGCGACGACGGCGGTTAAGGAATAAACGACAACAACAAACGCGCGGCACGGGAAGGGATTTTTACATGAAAATAAACGAAGAGATTTCAAAGTAACCAAAATCCGAGTTGACAGCACTGCAACACGGACGTGCCAAGCGGCGAGCTCCTATTGGCTGATAACGCCGCCAACTCGAAGTTAGACGTGCGCTGATTGGTCCACGCAACCCCCCACGTTCTTCCCCCCCTCCCCCATGTGGATTCCACGTGTTTGAGTTGCACCGGATTATAAGACGCACAAGCTTGTGCCCAGTATCAATGAGGTTATACACAACTGGTCTCGCTCACACACACACACAGACAGAAGTGGATAGCCTTAACAGAGTATACTCTTAGGTTTTTCGGTAAAGTCACGGAGGTAAAATAATAAAAGATAAATAATAATAAAATAATAGAAATAAAATAATAAATCACGACGTTTCGGAGGCAACACAAGCTTCCGTCTTCAGGTGGCACCGTCACAGCACGTGCTGTATCAAGTAACGATTAGCTGTATAAAGCCTTAACAGAGTGTCGGGGCAAGTGCTCCTTGCGAGCACCTATGAAGGCCGGCACGGCACACGAGGGGGTGGGGTGGCCAGCACCACGCCCGGCCGCCTTTGTCTCCCTAGTGACGATATTTACACACCGCACCAGGTACTCATTTGAGGCTGAGTCGACCTAGGGGAGGCCCAGAACCGGTTCAGATCATCGTCACTGCAGGTGTTGGCCGTGAGTGGGAATCGAACTCAGATTGCCAGGTTCGTAGCGCAGTGCGCTAACCGCTACACTACCGCTCCCAATACACAGAGACCTGCACAAGTAACTACTCGACTCGTAAATATTATAACATCATAATACAGGTTTTTTTGGGTTAGGGGCCGTCCATAAATGACGTCACGCACCTGGGGGGGGGGGGTGAGACATTTGTGACGATGTGTGACGAGGGGGGGGGTTTGAGAAATGTGACGTTACATCAAAATGCGCAACTTTAAATAAATATAGACGACACGTTCTACTTAATTAAATTGACTTTTTAATAAATGTTTTCTCCTACAACATCAGAGTGCAGCGCCACATTAAATACGCACTACAATGGGGGGGTCTGACTTTTTGTGAAGAAGGGGGGGGGGGGTCAAAAATCGTCCAAAATCGCGTGACGTCATTTATGGACGGCCCTTTATGTCGCGTACATTTGTTGTTAAACCCACACAGTCAATTAGTAAGGTTTGTCACGTAAACAGAACGTGCCAAACGAATAACCCCCAAAAAACCTGTTTTATGGATGATATTGGTCGCGAAAGCCTACGTGTTAAACTGACTATACCACCAATTTAAAAGTTGAATCAACAATATCTCGACATCCGTCAGTCACACCGTGGGCCGTGACGCGGTCTGGCGGGACACATCCACCGCTGCTTCTTGATTTTGCAGAGTTGTCGCGGTTCGATTTCCCAGCGGCTGGCGACGTGCGGTGCGAAAGATGTTCATCGTTAGGGGTGGGGAACCTCCGACCCGCGGGCCGTATAAGGCCCCGCGAAATCATTTGGTGTGGCCCTGCCAAGGCAACCGCAGGCAGGACTCGAAATTCAATCAATCTAGGAGCAAACCTGGAAAAGCAGTTGCGAGTAGCAACATCATCAATACCAGCTAATATCACACGGCTCGCCAAAGAGAAGCAATTCCAGCCATCGCATTAGGGATGAGTTAATTAAATGTTTAACCAAATATAACAGGCTCATTTTTAAGTTGATAATTTTGTATGGCCCGCGAATGATGTTAGAAATATCCAAATGGCTCTTGGCAGGTAAAAGGTTCCCCACCCCTGCCGTAGGTACACGATGCGCGACCGTTTGCTTTTGACCGTGGACGTTAAAGACCCCCCTGACGTCATTTGGCAAGAGTAGGCTATTTGTGTGCCAGCGTCAATGTCCACATGTACCACATTTGAAAATGAATGTTGTACTCATTCGGGGATTATACAGGGGAATCATCGACCCTTCTACTGGCCCCAGGTCTATGTCTCCGGCAAACGAGGCCATCGTGATTGTTGAGAGTTTTCATCTGGTTCGAACAAATTAACGTCGCTTCGCGCATTAAGTAGTTTACGTCGGGGATGCGTTCCCGAAAGGTGCATTACGGCGAATATCGAAACGGCGTGAATCGAAGCGATTTACAGAAAGAGCGGACGATGCTGCCAGCGACGTTAGTGTGGGGGATGTTGAGGCTACACAAATCCGGTGGCGGTGTTAATAACAACGAAACGGCGTTAAATGGGAGCCGTGAATCGAGACGTACTGTGTCTCTATACAATCGTGTTCAGTGCACTCGTCTCGGTATGTTTCTCATATTATTCGACGCATCTTCTGCTTGTTTATCATCCCCCTCCCCCTCTCCCCCATTTCTAATGCACTAGCTATATTACTCATGTATTGCATGGTTGTACCTGTGCTGCATTATAAATGAGAACCTTGTTTGTAATCATCGATACTGGGGTGAAAAATGCGCCACGGTGGCGAGATGTTAACTACCTCCCTTGGTATACAGGAGGTCGTGCGTTCGATCCCCTCTGACGCCTGCTGTATATTTGGAGTTTGCAATTTCTCCCAATGGTCGCGTGGATTTTTCTCCGGGTCTTCTGGTTTTTTCCTCCATATTTAGAAACATGCGTTTAGAGTACTTTGGATACTATAAATATCCACGTGATAAGCCACTTGGTTGAGCTATTTATCATTTGTGGCCAGTTCGTTTCTGAAAAAAAGCTACATAACTCAGTGGGCCTTACCTGGTAAAATAAGTTGGCCGGGCGTGGTGCTGGTCACCCACCCCCTCGTGTGCCGTTCCGGCCTTCATTTGTCTTTTTGTATTAAATTATGTTGAGAGATGTAAATTGCAATGATATTTTAGAAGGGCCTCGCACGCATACGCCAATACACACGCGCAAGGACAAAACCCACAACCGCCATTCACTACTAAGTGAAAGTGATGTAACCACATGGTATTTGTGCCAGGCTAGCTGCACGTTAATTTCAGATTAAATGTCAAAAGCATTTATACCACGGAACAGACCCACTTGCTCTGAGTTTCCTGACAGATGCAACACCTGTGCCAACTTGCTGCATTTTATGCACCCAGAGCTCTGCTCGTTGTTGTGAGCGTCGCTCCTTCGCCCTCCGTTGTTGCTGAAGAGTGGCTGCCTCCAACCGCCCAGAAACGTCCTTCACGAGCTTCCTCCACAGCGCCACAGAGGCGATCTTAACACCGCTGGTACCAGTCATTGGCGAGATCAGTAAGTTTCAAATCCTCGCAATCAGCCCATCTCTTCTGTTCTCTGCCCCTGCCGTGCACGTTTAAGGCAAACAGAAGCTGCTTGGCTATGCGGTGGCTGGGCATGTGGGCTACATGACCCAGCCGACATAGCCTCACCTGCCAGAGGAGCACGCTGATGGGAAGTGTCTGGTTCTTTCATGGATCTGTGAACTCCGCACACAAACCGGCCTGGTTGAACCCAGGATGAATCATAGGCTGGGCCACCCCAAACGCTTTCAAGCCGGCGCAGATGTTCCTCTATAGAGGAGCCGACATTTCACAAGCAAAGAGAAGCGAGATCATAACTGTGTCCGTGAAGACAGACACTTAGACAAAGACAGAGATACCCCGTATAGCCTTCACATACTTTTAGGGCAAGTGCTGTTAGCGAGCACCTATGAAGTCTGGCATGGTACACGAGGAGGGTGGGTGGCCAGTACAAGGCCCGACCGCCTTCGTTTCCGCAGTGGCGATGTTTACACACCGCACCAGGTACTCCTTTAACGCTGAGTCGACCTCGGGGAGGCCCACGACCTGTTCAGATAATCGTCACCGGTGTTGGCCGTGAGCGGGAATGAAACTCGGATCGCCAGGTTTGTAGCGCAACTCACTAACGACTGAGCCACCACTCCACAGACACACAAAAACAGCAACAACAGCGCTTGTGCCAGGCGATGTGCACTTTAAGTCCACGAGACAAAGATCCCCCGTATAGCCTTAACAGACAGTTGGGAAAAGTGCTGTTTGCGAGCACCACCTATGAAGGCCAGCACGGCACACGATGGGGGTGGGTGGCCAGCACACGCATCCACACACACACACACACATGCTCTCATGCACATGCACACTCCAGAACAGCTTCTTTGGAGCCGCCTTCATCAAGCGATTCATATCACGCCAAGTTTTCTTTACAAGTCATTTGAGGTCGGATTAATGTCTGTGTTGCTGTGTGGGTCAGCGGAGTGCATCGTTCAAAGCGCTGCGCTACGAATCTAGCGAAACGAGTTCGATTCCCGCTCACAGCCAACACCAGTGACGATTATCTAAACCGGTCCTAGACCTCCCCTAGGTTGACTCGGCCTCAAATAAGTATCTGGAACGATGTGTGCATATCGTCACTTGGGAGACAAAGGCGGCTGGGTGTTGTGCTGCCTAGCCCCCCTTTCGTGTACAGGAACCAGCTCTCACAGGTGCTTGTTAACAGCACTTGCCCCAACAGTCTGTTAAGTCTATACGGTGATGTTTGTCTTCGTCAGATGGACGTGCGGGCATTCGAATAACAGATACACGAGAGGGATTGCGAACGATCTCAGTTGAGCAGAATTAAAATGTGTGCCGTTTCTTGACACTGCAGTCATTTTAGCACGTTGGTATTCATTCTCAAACCCGAGTACTTAAATTCTCACTCGATATTTCTCGGACCGCTGGAAATAGGCCTGGCTTGGAGTATGTTTTTTTTTTATCAGAATATGGCACGAACAACGAGAGTACAGTTAAGTAAGCATAACCACAATTATAATAATCACAAGATATGACGGCGAGATGGATAGAGATTGCGCCAGAAAAATTCCCTGAACTGCACACTGCTCACGCCTACAAATATCTCTCTCCTTGCTCTGAATTCATTTTCGGATCCACCTTTGCCCAATATATCTCTTAACTCAATGGGCTCTCTCACCTGCTCGAGTAAAGGACGTCAATCAAGCAATATAAACACACCAGGAGCACACGCACACAATGCGACCCCGTGTCCTGACACTACAGAATGCAGAAATGAAAGATGAACTTTATAAACATCGAGTAGCCATCGCGCGGCT